CCCCCCCCCCCGCCCCAATACGCACAGCTGAATTTTGGGGGAATACTATATATGAGAAAATATGGTAAACGGATGCATGGTCAACTTCATATATACCTGGAAAGAACCTAGTGAGCTTTATCATAGTAAATCTACAAATGACAAATTACATTAAACCTGTGAAAGGCAGTACTGTTAATGGACTGAGTTGTGGGATGGAGTTTGCTCTGCGTGGGCTTTGACAAGACACTTAACCTCTTTGCTTCCGTTTCTCAGTCTGGGAAAAGAGGATAGTAATAGTGAGTCATCTCCCGAGAATAAATTAATATGATGAAAGAAACACTTTCAAACATTTAATGCAGTTTGTTAGCTTAGGGGTTTTGTCATTGTTAACATTAACTACATGTGAATTAAACTTGGTTGAAAGGTCTGTGCAGATGTAGGTTTTGACTGATTTATATCTCTGCAATATAACAAGAGGAAAGATGTACAAAGAAATGACTGGTGAAATACTGAAATGATGTAACAAGTGTTTCTGGTGGATAAAGATTCAGACTGGCAAATTCCATCCCTTTGCGAAACTGTCTTTCCCCATGAAAATCCTCAAAGAGGAAGAGTTTTATTTTACGTGTTCTCTTCCTTTTCTGAGCATCTAGAACTCGCCTATAAAGAAGTTCATTTAATTCCACAATAATTGTGGCCTTATAATAAGTTATTTCCACTTCTTTCTATCAGGGTTGTTTTCCAAACTTTCAAGAGAGACTTTCATTTGCAAAGGTCCTGTTAAATCCCTCCATGACTTGAGGCAGACAAGTTTCTTTGGGTAGATGTGATGTCTTTTGTTAGACGAAGTGAGTAGTTGGAAAAAAGTTCTTAGCAAGCATTCAGGCACAGTCACCCTTAGTCAGGCATAGGGAGTCTCTGCTGGTCTGAGACTCCAAGGAAGAGACTCCCTATACGTGACAAAGAGCAACTGTGCCCGAACGCTTGCTAAGAACTTTTTTCCAACTACTCACTTGGTCTAATAAAAGATATCACATCTACCCAAATAACCTTGCCTGCCTATGTCCTTAGACCAACACAGCTACAACCAAAATCGCAGCTCCGTGACTTGAAACTCTTATGAAGACAGCAGCCTGGGAGTGCTGAAATCCTTCAGAAATGTACAGCTGTAAAGATTTGATTTTCATTAGTATGTGCCCTGAAAGCAAAACTCTTTGGAGGGAAAGAATTCCACAGCAAGTTCTTCGCTTTCACTTGCATCTTTGGGCCTGATCCTCAACTCATCCACTCTTGTTGAATTCAGAAGCAATTTCCACTGAGATCATTGATTTCTTACTGAGTAGTACCAGAATCCAGCTCACGTTTTCTGCTTCAGCTGAGTCGATTTGAGGTTCTTGTCCTGAAACTCTTACAGTGTCATTCAGACAGGGACTTGCTTT